CAGGGAGCGTGAGATGACGGAGGCTTCAGGACTTTTATGTTTTGACTGTATATTTAATATGACGATTTACGTTTCCGCTGATGATGGTTTTTGATGAACTTATATTTTGACTGGACTTTTGGGAAAACTTTATGCTTTCAGTAATCGTATGATTTTATTAAAAATTAAGATAACGGTTTTCAAAATAAGTCACATTTTAAATAACTTTGCGGAATTTTCGCACTCTGATTTTACGATAAGGCGGGGTGTTACAACAATAATATTATTGCACTCCCCTCACCTATCCCAAATTACATTTGAGACTCCTTATTATAATTATCCGATTTACCTCCCCATGTTTAAGATATAATGTCCATTAATTAATTCGATCACTAATAATCAAGAATTAATTAATATATTATATTACCGAAGCTAGCGCTCGCTCATAGCATTCATATTATGCCGGAATAAATCCACCTGCAGGGTTTAGCATAATATTCCTTCATGAACTCACTTCGGGGACATCATCATACTAACGCACATGGTGACCGTAAATATCCTAATAGCACATCGAACACATAATGTCATTACCCAATTCATTAAGTATGTCGACCCGGCTTGGATCTCACCCAAAGAATCAAAGCAACAACAATTATGTGCACATGCCTATTTAATATCTTATGGGTTAAGAGCACGCAATAATTAACTGAGGCCGGGTTCGTTTACGACGATCAGTATAAAACGAACATCCCTCTCTAGGATCCTGTTCAATACATAAATGTACTAGTGCAACTAATCGGTCAAGACCAACCGTACGGTTGACACTACAACCGTTCCGATGGGTTGTTCAATTCCATCTAGGTTGTGAACCAATGATTCTTGTTTCGCAAGTAACTGATATAGTGATCTTCGATACGCCCGATGACGACCCACTTATCTACATGCAAAACAACAGAACGTGGAACTCATTTAACCAAACATAATTCTCATTCATCAAGAAATAACAAGTGTAATATCCACCAAAGTATCGCTGAAATAGTGAAACTCCGAGAAGGATCGGGAATAGTCAACACCGGTACTGAAGTTAATCTCCTTTTGAGCTCCTGAAAGCTTGCCTCACATCGATCGGTCTACTCGAACCTCACAGACTTCCTCGTCAGCTGGGATAGAGGGAGGGCAATTTTGGAAAAGCCCTCAATAAACCTGCGATAGTAACCAGCTAGACCGAGAAAACTGCGAACCTCGGATGGACTCCTCGGTGTCGACTAGTTCTGCACAGCTGAGGCCTTGGAAGGATCCACCTCGATACCTGCCTGAGTAATCACATGACCCAGAAAGGCTACTCGCTGGAGCCAGAACTCGCATTTGGAGAAT